TCCCTTGAATGTTTGCATTTTTATGTTGCATCATTTTATTGAAATTTTCATACATGAACGTTATTTTATATTGATGTAATAAGCTTTTTCATTTATATATGCTTTTTAATATATAGTCACTTTTGGAGTTAATTTCTTTTTTTGCGAATTCGACAATTTCTTTTGTGTATGAAACAAAAATAAAAATTTAATTGTTAAATTAAAAGATTTTTTTAAAATAAAAAATTTCTGAACTTCGATTTGTGATTTCATGTAAAATATATATATGTGTAATACAGAGTAGGCCATCGAACAACCTTTTTGGCTACTAGCCCACAAAATTTCTAAGAAAACATTTTTTCAAATCTTATTATTGCTATTTTATATCTATAGAGTTTTTTTTATGTATATAAAAACAGTTTCGTTATATTTCATATGTTGCATCAGTTAATAAAAATAAGAAAAGTTATCTCGTAAAACAGTTTCTTTATAATTTTTGTGCATATAAAAATTTTCCGATTATTGAAACACACATTGAATAAAAAAATTGAATAAAATTAAAAATCTGTATAGGATTTCATTGATAAATAAATAAAATAAAAATAAATTAAATAAAAATATATAAATAAAATAAAAATTATATTAGGAGGGAAATAAAAAATTAATTTATGACAAATTATTTTTGTCCATGCGTCTATTATCAAGAAAAGGGACGAAAAAAAATTGTTGCACAAATTTGAAAAAAAAACAAAATAAATATATAAACATTATTTTCTAATGGACACATTTATCTTTATAAAGCTTGCGTGTTCTATTTAAGATTTCTGAGAAAAAATTTTAGATAAAGATCAAAGAGACTTTGATTAACAAATACGTTTATTATAGCTCTATCTCTCTCTCTTTCTCGCGAATAAAGAATTGCGCAAAATTAAGTTGACATATGAATTCTAATGCATTTGGGATTAAATTCCGGATCACCATAGGTCACACGTGTTTATATGTATATATAAAAGAAATAAAGTTTTACAAAGTATCCGCTCGTTTATACATTGTCTCATATAAAAGAATATACGATACAAATTTATAGCTTTCGTAGAATGCGATCTCTTTGGCAGGGATTTTAATTCACTTCTCAGAGGCGCTGGCGCTTCATCCCATGCCCTAAATGACATCCGTGCCAGATTTTCTTTTGCAGTTTTTTCGACGAATAAAAAACATGTAATTTATTTAACATTATTGTTATAGTCGATTTTATATAGATATATAAATATTAATGTTATTTTATTTGAAAATCAGCAAATTTTATCATTATTATTTTACTTTCAAAAATGTATTTTTTTTCCAATTTGTAAATTCATAGATTCAGGTTTCTAAAATGTTTATTTTTTATTTTATTTTATAAATTAAAGTTTTTTTTCAATTAATATTTTAAATTTAATAAGAAAGGATTTCGTGGTTGTTATATTATTCTTAATTACAGGCCGTTACTATGGTATTGTTGCTATAGTAACAGATACTATGGTAACAGTTGCTGTAGTAACCGTTGCTATGGAAACCGTTGTTGTAGAGGTTGCTATGGATATAGTAACAATGGTACAAGTTACTATGGTACCAGTTACTTTAGTACCATTTAGTAACATTGGTACTAGATATGTTATGCTACCAGTTTCTTTGGTACCAGTTACTTTAATACCATTTAGTTACTATGGTACCAGTAACTTCGATACTAGTTATGTTGGTACCAGTTACTATGGTATCACTTAGTTACTATGGTACTAGTTACTTCGGTACCAGTTACTACGGTACCATTTACAATGGTACCATTAACTTCGGTACTAGTTATGCTGGTACCAGTTACTATGGTACCAGTTACTTTGGTACCCGTTATTTTAGTACCATTTAGTTACAACGGTACCATTTACAATGGTACCAGTAACTTCGCTACTAGTTATGTCGCTATTAGTTACTTTGGTACCAGTTACTTTAGTACCATTTAGTTACAACGGTACCATTTACAATGGTACCAGTAACTTTGGTACTAGTTATGTCGCTATTAGTTACTTTGGTATCAGTTACTTTAGTACCATTTAGTAGTAATTTAGATACCAGTAACTTCGGTACCTGTTACTATGGTACCAGTTACTATGGTACCAGTTACTTTGGTACCAGTTACTTTGGTACCAGTTACTATGGTACCGGTTACGTTGGTACCTGTTACTTTAGTACCATTTAGTTACTATGGTACCAGTAACTTTGGTACTACTTATGTTGGTACCAGTTACTATAGTACCATTTACTTGAGTACAATTTAGTAACTTTGGTACTAGTTATGTTGTTACCAGTTACTTTGTTACCAGTTACTTTGTTACCAGTTACTTTGGTACCCGTTATTTTAGTACCATTTAGTTACAACGGTACCATTTACAATGGTACCAGTAACTTCGCTACTAGTTATGTCGCTATTAGTTACTTTGGTACCAGTTACTTTAGTACCATTTAGTTACAACGGTACCATTTACAATGGTACCAGTAACTTTGGTACTAGTTATGTCGCTATTAGTTACTTTGGTATCAGTTACTTTAGAACCATTTAGTTACAACGGTACCATTTACAATGGTACCAGTAACTTCGCTACTAGTTATGTCGCTATTAGTTACTTTGGTACCAGTTACTTTAGTACCATTTAGTTACAACGGTACCATTTACAATGGTACCAGTAACTTTGGTACTAGTTATGTCGCTATTAGTTACTTTGGTATCAGTTACTTTAGTACCATTTAGTAGTAATTTAGATACCAGTAACTTCGGTACCTGTTACTATGGTACCAGTTACTATGGTACCAGTTACTTTGGTACCAGTTACTTTGGTACCAGTTACTATGGTACCGGTTACGTTGGTACCTGTTACTTTAGTACCATTTAGTTACTATGGTACCAGTAACTTTGGTACTAGTTATGTTGGTACCAGTTACTATAGTACCATTTACTTGAGTACAATTTAGTAACTTTGGTACTAGTTATGTTGTTACCAGTTACTTTGTTACCAGTTACTTTGTTACCAGTTACTTTGGTACCAGTTACTTTGGTACCAGTTACTTTGGTACCAGTTACTATGGTACCGGTTACGTTGGTACCTGTTACTTTAGTACCATTTAGTTACTATGGTACCAGTAACTTTGGTACTAGTTATGTTGGTACCAGTTACTATAGTACCATTTACTTGAGTACAATTTAGTAACTTTGGTACTAGTTATGTTGTTACCAGTTACTTTGTTACCAGTTACTTTGGTACCAGTTACTTTGGTACCAGTTACTTTGGTACCAGTTACTTTGGTACTAGTTACTTTGGTACCAGTTACTTTAGTACCATTTAGTTACTATGGTACCAGTAACTTTGGTACTAGTTATGTTGGTACCAGTTACTATAGTACCATTTACTTGAGTACAATTTAGTAACTTTGGTACTAGTTATGTTGTTACCAGTTACTTTGGTACCAGTTACTTTAGTACCATTTAGTTATTATGGTACCAGTAACTACGGTACCATTTACAATGATACCAGTAACATTGGTACTAGTCAGGATGCTAAAATGTTTATTTTTTATTTTATTTTATAAATTAAAATTTTATTTTCAATTAACATTTTAAATTTAATTTAATAAATGATAATATTTATTTTAATATTTTAATATTTATTTTTATAATTTTTTGTTTAATTAAAAATTGAAATGTATGTTCTGTGAAAAATATTCCATTTTTTTTGTTGTTCTTTTATATATGTGGGATTAGAATAGTTTGATTAGTCATTTTTCTCAAGTGGGTTTCTTTTAAGATTATATATAGGTAGTTGTTTGCTAATTTAATGTAAATGCAACATAAGTGTGATATCATAAGTGGAATGAGAGAGAGAGAGAGAAAATTAAGTGGGGGGAGGAGTAAAAAGAGTCAATTAAGGAGTAAAAGTCCTTGACTTTTAACCACAAATCGTAAATTACCCCGAGGCTAAAGAACATTTTATGTTTTCCGTTTCGTCCTGCATGTAGGATATAGTACTCGCCAGTGTATATATATATATATATATATATATATCTCTGAACTACTACCTGTTATGTTATTAGATGTTATTATATGGATTCTTTATTGCTGGTAGACCACTACAATACACTTGAAATGTAACATTAAGTTCATAATCGTCTTAAAACAATAATCCTCGGGTCATAAGCGCGCTTATTCTTTCTACGCTTTTTTAAAGAGTCACTTTAGTTTTTTTTTTCATTTGTGAAAAATTAAAATTTTTCTTTTTTTAAAAAAAAATACTTGTTTTTTATTCATTAGGTAACAAAATTAATATTTTCATAAAATATTTTTAAAAAATTTACTTATTTGTAATTGGCATTTTTTTGAAATATTTTAATTTAAATTGATAGTTTTTTTTTGCAAATAATAGAAACAATCGTAAAATATAATTAGGGTCTGCCTGCATTTTTTTTTTTTTTTAATACTAATCGCTTTTTCCACCTACGTAAAAAAGTGAATAGAGTCTCTGGGAAATGTATATTAGCATGATAAATAACCGCATAATCTCATCCTTAAAATAACAAGATAAATCAAACGTTGAACTCAAATGATCAAAACAATCCAGATTTAGAAAACCAAGGCTATCAAAAAAAAAAAAAGAATGAAAAAAATGTGCAGTTAAAATTAATTGACTTGAAAATTTTAATAAAGAAAAAATTTCTGTATTTGATTTCATAATTTTTGGATTTTATAAAAATATTTTGTTTCAAACAGTTTTTTTTTTTTTTTTGTCTCCAAATTGTCCTAAATAATTTAATGGAAGAAATTGTTTTTCATGTTGAGCATTTTTAACTGATAATATTATCAAAGAAGGAAAATCGAATAACTATTTATTGTAAACAATTGTTTTGTAGAAAGTAACAAACATCATCAATAAGGAAAAAGTATATAATTATGTTTGATATTTGGTTATAATCTCTAATGATTTGCATTTAAGGATAAGGTTAATTATATATTTAATTTTTTTGCTCGTATATATAAAAAGCCGAACTAAATTTTGTAAATTTCATTCTATCTTCAACTTTCTTGAAAATTCCTTTATTGAAATACTAATTGTAAGTATATGTCAAAATATTCTTTATATTGAAACCCAATTATATTATTATTTGAATTAAATAAAAATATATTTATCTCAGAGTTACCATTTTTTAAATTTCAGTTTATTAAATTTTTAACCATTTTAAATTAATATATAACTGACTTTTTGCAAAAAAAAAATTTTTTTATTTCAAATTTAGAGAGTAAAAATAATTACCTATTTGAACCAAATAAAATATATTGCATCCAAATAAAATTTATTTTGAACTATTTATAATTTTTTTTTGAACCAAATAAAATATATTGCATCCAAATAAAATTTATTTTGAACTATTTATAATTTTTTTTGAACCAAATAAAATATATTTGAACCATTTATAAATATATTTGAACAATTTATTTAAATCAAATAAAAATTACTTGAAACAAATATATTTATTTATCTATGAGAGAAATATATTTTTTTTCCCTTTATTTTAATTAAATTTTTTCTAATACACAAAAAAAGTTAAAATATTTATAATTTTACTGATTATTATTTATTTTCATTTTAATTATTGATTTTGTAGAAATTTCTGCATATAAAATGGCAAGTTTCAAATCTTGTTTATTGGTGGTGTTCTTGGCAACCATATTAATGTTAATGGTACCTTCTATTAATGCCTGTGAACCTAACGGTACTCCATGTCAACCCGATGGAAGTACAGATTGTTGTACAAAATTTTGTTATAAACAAGTAGGATGGGCAATTGGATATTGTAAATAGAGAATTATTTTTAATTACGGTTATTAATAATAACAACAATTAAAAATTACATTTTTCTTCACATGTAAATTTTGATGTAAAAGAAATAAAAATTTGTTAATTTCAATTTAATTTTTTTAAATTATTAAAAAAAATTAATTATTTTAGAAAATAATTTTAATTTATTTTTATTATCTCGTGAAGTAAAAAAAGAAAGTAATTCTGATTATTATTTATGCTCGCACTGTAATAGTATATATATATATATATATATACGAGAAATATAAAATGAATTCCCTGATGTAATTATTTCGCACGACTAATTCGACAAAGTGAGCGCAAATGGTCCTATGCTTGCAAAATTCAGTATCCCTCTAAAATCCGATTGGGTATTTTTTTTTTTCTTTTTCTTTGGGGAGACGCGAAAATCAATACTTTGCCTTACTGTCAAGCCCCCCCTTTGGTTTTCTCTGTGTGTCTAGCTTTGGCTTCTAAATTACTGTGTGTGTGAGAGAGAGAGAATGAGGTTTGCACATATAATATACGCCTAGAGGGCGAATTGCGTTAAGCCCCCCACCCCCTGTGGATTTATGTACACATAACGCATTTATACAGTGGTCTATAACTCTTCAGTATTTTTTATTCAACATTAAAACAAGAAGAAATTAATTTTTCACAATTAAAAATTTTTTTTTTATAATAATAAAAAATTAATAATTTTTTTTTATAATAATAAAAAATTAATAATTTTTTTTTATAATAATAAAAAATTAATAATTTTTTTTTATAATAATCACAAATAATTTGTTCCCTCTTTTTTTGTTATTTATATAATTTTTATTTTTCCTGGAATATATTATAATAATATTTCTTTTAGGACTGTATATAATTTATTCACGTTTATACTTTGTTCATCCCCTATATTTTACATTTGGGTAACATTTTTTTTTCCGGTTTTTAATCAAATTGTTTCTATTTTACGCTCTACGCTTTCCCTCACACATATTATATAATCAGATTCTGTTCTTTTTACTGCTTTTTTATTTCAATTTATTATTTAGTTACAAATTAAAAAGAAATTGTTTTATTAAATAAAACGGTTAGCAAATAAATATTTATTTCAACCAAATAATTTTTTGAATAAAATAATTTTTTTTAATACTATATAGTATCATTTTTTATTATTCTTTTTTTAATTAATTTTAATCACAATTTTTTAATTATTTTTTAAATTATTTTTTATTACAATTTTTTAATTATTTTTTTTAAATTATTTTTATTACAATTTTTTTATTATTTTTTTTTTCCTATATTGTAATATAGTTTTTTTTGTTATTTTGTATTATAGTTTTTTTTTTGTTATTTTGTATTATAGTTTTTTTTATTTTTTATTTATTATTACTATGGTACCATTTACTATGGTACCAGTTACTTTAGTACCATTTAGTTACAACGGTACCATTTACAATGGTACCAGTAACTTTGGTACTAGTTATGTCGCTATTAGTTACTTTAGTATCAGTTACTTTAGTACCATTTAGTTACTATGATACCAGTAACTTCGGTACCAGTTACTATGGTACCAGTTACTATGGTATCAATTAGTTACTATGGTACTAGTTACTTCGGTACCAGTTAGTACGGACTATTTACAATGGTACCAGTAACTTTGGTACTAGTTATGTTGCTATTAGTTACTTTGGTACCAGTTACTTTAGTACCATTTAGTTACTATGATACCAGTAACTTCGGTACCAGTTACTATGGTACCAGTTCCTATGGTACCAGTTACTATGGTACCAGTTACTATGGTATCAATTAGTTACTATGGTACTAGTTACTTCGGTACCAGTTACTACGGTACCATTTACAATGGTACCAGTAACTTTGGTACTAGTTATGTTGCTATTAGTTACTTTGGTACCAGTTACTTTAGTACCATTTAGTTACTATGATACCAGTAACTTCGGTACCAGTTACTATGGTACCAGTTCCTATGGTACCAGTTACTATGGTACCAGTTACTATGGTATCAATTAGTTACTATGGTACTAGTTACTTCGGTACCAGTTACTACGGTACCATTTACAATGGTACCAGTAACTTTGGTACTAGTTATGTTGCTATTAGTTACTTTGGTACCAGTTACTTTAGTACCATTTAGTTACTATGATACCAGTAACTTCGGTACCAGTTACTATGGTACCAGTTACTATGGTATCAATTAGTTACTATGGTACTAGTTACTTCGGTACCAGTTACTACGGTACCATTTACAATGGTACCAGTAACTTTGGTACTAGTTATGTTGCTATTAGTTACTTTGGTACCAGTTACTTTAGTACCATTTAGTTACTATGGTACCAGTAACTTCGGTACTAGTTATGTTGGTACCAGTTACTATGGTACCAGTTACTTTAGAACCAGTTACTTTAGTACCATTAGTTACTATGGCACTAGTTACTATGGAACCTGTTACTATGGTACCAGTTACTATGTTATCAATTAGTTACTATGGTACTAGTTACTTCGGTACCAGTTACTACGGTACCATTTACAATGGTACCAGTAACTTTGGTACTATTTATGTTGCTACCAGTTACTTTGGTACCAGTTACTTTAGTACCATTTAGTAATTATTCTTTTTTTAATTAATTTTAATTACAATGTTTTTATTATTATTTTTTAAATTGTTTTTTATTACAATTTTTTTATTATTGTTTTTTTTCCTATATTGTAATATAGTTTTTTTTTGTTATTTTGTATTATAGTTTTTTTTCTTATTTTTTATTTATTATTTATATCAATATTATATAATTAATATTATTCTTATAAGAAAAAATTGGATTTTATTTTGAAATTGACTATATAAAGTATAAAGTAACTGGCATTCCACACACACACACTCACACACTACAAAGTTAAATGCAAAAAAAAATGGATAGTATTCATCTAGCATACAAATAGAAAATTTACCATCAAGGATATAGCGAAGAATATAAACGCGTTATCTATAAATCTATAGTGACGGCGATTTTTACGACGCCCGTCGTCGAAACGTGTCAGTTTTTGCATACAGATTCCAACGATTTAAATATCCAACCACCCCCCTCCTTCTCTCCCTTAATGTCTAAATTTTTTTTTCTAAAGAAAAAATAGTTTTTTTTTTTTTTATTTCCCACTATCGAAATTTTTTATTAATATAATTTATTATAATTTTCATATATTGAAATTAATTTGTAAATGGAAATTTTCTTGTCATCTGAAAATGAAAGTAAATTAAAGGAAAAATGCATTTTATTTATTAAAAGATATGCGGGACCATGTCTTCAGTTATTAAAAAAAAAAAAAGTCAAATAATATAACTGATAATTGGATATAATTTGTCTCGTGTATATATATATATATATTTAGGGGAGAATATTATTTCCAATTATAACAAAAAGAACATTGTAATCTTATTCTCAGTGAGATTATAGAGACCTACTTTAAAATAAAGTTATAATTAAAATCAGTTAACAAGTTAAAGATATAAATTAATCAGAACCATGAAGTTTAATTAGGCGCAATTAATCCGAATCAAGTGACCCGAAGATATATATACTGCATGTCGATTCGCTTTTATCTTTTTCATGTAAAGGGGACTATATAGAGAGAGAGAGGAGAGGAATCAATTAAGAGAAAAGGAATAAGAAAAAAAATCATCAGAAAATTGTTGAAAAAAAAATTTATAAAATATCGTTAACCAAAAATATAAAAATTATTTACGATTCATTAAAAGATGGTTTATTATTATAATTTATTTTTTATCATAATTGTCGTTTCAAATTTCCCCTTTTTTTTATCCAATATAATGTTTTTTTAATTCTCCCAAAAAATTCCCCACATTTGTAAACAATATTTTTGTTTTTTTTCCCGAAAAAAAAATGTGAATTTCGGAATAATAATGTAATTATAAAAAAGACTTTGTTAATGTAATCTATCGAAGTAATTATAAGAAAATGCGTAGTTAACATTTTAACAATATATATGCAATATATCTGAAAGACTTATATTGAAATAATGAAATTGATAGGAAATGAGCGATAGATAAGACTTGAGAAATATAATATAAATTAATGGATTCAATTAGTGTGTCTGTGTGTTGGTCGATGTTTATATATATATATATATATATATATATATATATATATGCAACAAGAAAATAACCAAAAGGATCTATATAGAAAGTATATATTAATTTTCTATCTAATTCTTTATTCCAATCGGAAAAGATTTATTTTTGATTTAATCAAATGATAATTGAATGGAATTTTTTTTAAATACCTACACTCAGAAAAAAGATATGCAATATTTTTCTCAGAGCGAAATATTTGTTTGTTTCAAATAAATTTCAATTGTTTTAAATAAATTTTATTTGTTTCAAATAAATTCCATTTGTTTCAAATTAATTTTGTTTTAATTAAAATTTTTATTTGTGCTAAATAAAATATGTTATTTATAGGCTAAATAATTTTTTTTATAAAAAAAAATATTAAGCTCTTTTATATATTTTTATTTGATTCAAATAAATGAAAAATTATTACTTTACAATTTATTTAGTTTTAGTATATTTAAATAAAATCATTAAAAAAAAGTGGTACTCTAGTAGTTTTAAAGAAAAATAGATAATCAGAAAAAAAAATGACGATACGTGACTGAGGAATAGTATTTAATAATATAATAATATATAAAACTGTTGGATAGAAAAATTGTCTATAAAAGGCACGTTCCTTCATCTCACAAATCTTTTTATTTCTCAATATATATGTATAGAAGCTAGAATAGCACTTGTGCGCCTCGAGAACAAAGGATCGAGAATAAAATATAGGGTGGGCGATATATAATATATATGAAATAGGAACTAGAGAATAGAAGATAAAAAATATTACAATTGCATATTATATCAAAAGTTGCATAGATAAAATTTTATATATCCAAATAATTGTGACAATTTAAAAAAAAAAAAAAATTTTAAAACCTTAAAGAAACTTGAATATTTTTAAAAAGTTTAAAAAAAATTTTTAAGAAATTGTAAACTTTAAATAGTTTTTTTTTTATCATTTTAAATTAATTAACACTTTGCGG